ATACACACCTCCAAAAAAACTCAACTCTGACGTTTAACATGTACATTGGTGTTTTGCCTGCATGTGTGTCTGTGTTAAGGTATTAGTTCCCCTGGAACTGGAGTTGCAGACAGTTGCGAGCTGCCATGTGGTGCTGAACCTAGGTCCTGTGGAAGCAGTTAGTGCACATAACCACTGTGAGCCGTCTCTCAAGTGCCGCCCCCACCCCCTTTTGAGTCAGGATCTACGTAACCTTTTTTTTTTTTTTTTAATGTGCATTGGTGCTTTTGCCACATGAATGGCCATATGATGGTGTCAGATCCCCAGGAACTGGAGTTACAGACAGTTGTGAGCTGCCATGTGGGTGCTGAGAATTGAACCCGGGTCCTCTGGAAGAGCAGTCAGTACTCTTACTTAACCTCTGAGCCATCTCTCCAGCCCCCAGGATCTATGTAATCTTAACTGTCCTAGAACTTGTTATATAGACCAGGCTGGCCTACAACTCACAGACAGAGATCTACCTGCCTCTGCTTTCCAAGTTCTGGATCTAAAAAAGTATGCTCTACCATGTCAGCCACCCCCCCCACCACCAAATATTCAAGAGAGAGGTGACTTTGCCTGTCATGTAGACTGCAAGTTGCCCGTCACAATCCATTCCCCCACTCTGTCACAAATAAGCTTTGTTGGGAAAGCTGCATGTCTCACCCTCAGTTGGTGCAGCGACATCCTCCCCAAGCATCCACCACAAGGAAGTGGACGAGTCACGTGCCTGTATGGCAAGAGCAGGAGTGAGAGGAACCTTTTCCAGACATGTACAGACACGGATATCCCTCACCTGTAGTTCATCAGCTTCTAGGTTTATGGTCCGAAGACGGTTTCTGACTGGCCGCTGCCACTTTCCTGGGGAGTTGCTGGCACAGCACATATACTTGGCCCGTGCAATCACAGACAAGTTGGAAGGACCCAGAAACAAACACCCTTGGGGAGTTCATGGGGTTTCCTCTGCCTACCCCTTGAGAGGGCAGCCAGCCAGGCTTCCTGCCTCCTAGATCTGCAGTTGGCCCCAGCAGTAGCTTTCCCTTTCTGCGTCCTTTACTGTCGTTCCTTCCTATCACCCTTGCCCAGTCCCTACACAGAATCAGTTTCTTGCAAAACCAAATCCAAGATTTGGCTACCCACTGTTATCTTGGCTTCAGCTAGTGCGTATTAGCAACATCCCAGGACATGACAGGGTGACACAAGAAATCGGGGTGCCTGGCATGCCACACAATTAACTGGACATCTCTGTAACAGTTGTCTGATTTTTTTTAAATTTTTTATATACTTATTTATTTATTTATTTATTATGTATACAATATTCTGTCTGTATGCCTGCAGGCCAGAAGAGGGCACCAGACCTCATTACGGATGGTTGTGAGCCACCATATGGTTGCTGGGAATTGAACTCAGGACCTTTGGAAGAGCAGGCAGTGCTCTTAACCTCTGAGACATCTCTCCAGCCCCAGTTGTCTGATTTTTAAAAAGAAATTTATTTTTTATTTTACATACCAATCCCAGTTTCCTCTCCCTCCTCTCCTCCCACTCTCCCCACTCCTTCTCCTTCCCCCACTCAGAGAAAGTAAGGCCTCCCATGGGGAAGTCAACAAAGTCTGTCCTATCAGGGTGAGGCAGGACCAAGGCCCTCCCCACTGTATCTAGGCTAAACAAGGTATCTCTCCAAAGCAAATGAGCTCCAAAAAGCCAGTTCAAGCACTAGGGTTAAATCTTGATCCCATTGCCAGTGGGATCCATTTGCCCCACAAACTGTTCAAGCCACACAATTGTCACCCGCATTCAGAGGGCCTAGTTCCTACACAGGATCCCCAGCTGTCAGTCCAGAGTTTGTGAACTACCACTAGTTCAGGTCAGCTGTTTCTCCAGGTTTCCCCATCATGGTCTCGACCTCTTTTCTCATATTATTGCTCCTCCCTCTCTTCAACCGGACTCCAGGAGCTCGGCCCAGTGCTTAGCTGTGGATCTCGGCATCTGCTTCCATCAGTTACTGGATGAAGGTTCTATGATGGCAGTTAAGGGAGTCACCAATCTGATACAGAGCAAGGCTAGTTCAGGTACCCTCTTCACTACTGCTTAGAGTCTCAGTGAATCTGATTATTTTTAAATTCTCTCTCTGTGTGTGTGTGTGTGTGTGTGTGTGTGTGTGTGTGTACGTGCACACATGCATACACGCGCAGTAGGATAGGTATCAGCAGAGGCTAGCTTTGTGGGTTTGGCCAGGAACCAAACCCTAGGCCTGAGCAAGAACACCTAATGTGTTTAACCACTGAGTCATCTCTCCAACCCCAAGCTGTCTCATCTTAACCAGTACACCTGCCCAACACCCATTTTTCCGTTGGTTCCCACCACCCTGTTTTTACTGGGGAGCCACTTTCTTAGGACTGTAGCTAATCTGCTCACCATACCTGATTTAGGGTCAGTGGGAGCACACGCCTCAGGCCTCGGCCAAGAGAGCAACACGTCCCAGGGCGCAGGGATGGTTCAAGGTGGGTCCCAGAACCAAATTTACCACCACCTCAGGCAAAACGGGAAACTGTTCGCTACACCACTGTACTGGCTGGGACAGAATCTAGAGCTATGGACGGTCACCAGAGCTCCACCTGAACCTCCTACAAAGTCACGGGGAGGGGGGATCTCAAAGATAGAGGGGCAGCGGTGGTGCATGACTATAATGGCATACCTAGCTGCTTGGGAGACTTAGACAGGATTACAAACTCAAGACCTCCTTGAGCCATGTAACAAGATCCCGTCTCAATTCATAAGAACAGAGAAAAGACGGAGGGAAAGATGCTGCTGCTATTTCTTGAGCACTACATCTGGTCATCCTGAAGCTTGAGCTTTTGAAAACCTTTGCCCCTATAGGGGCGGGTGCGTAGGTACCGTAGCATTAGCGTACTTATGTGGGCTTAAGGACAAGTTGTGGGAGCCAGTTCTCTACGATGTGGATCGTAGAGGGTAATGGGCTTAGTGTGTCCGACTCGGCAACACACACTTTTTGCCTGCCGAGCCATCTCAGAGGCCTAGCACCTTAAGATCTGAAGCCCTGATTCCAGCAGGTCTTTCTGAAGGTGGCTTCCCGCCAGCTCTTGGTCACGGAAGAAGTATGCAAACCATTGCTAAGGCCGTTTTAAACTGGGCCCCTGTCACTAGCAACTGAGCAAGCTGTTTAATAAAAGACTAGCCCTAATGGGAGCTAAAGGTTATTCAGTTCCAGAGGCAGCCAGCCACACACTTCCAGCCAGAGAAGCCCGCTCCGTCGCCGTCACCACCTGCACAAGCGGGGCAAGGTTGGTCAGGTGACTTTCAGACTCTGTGGCAAGAGCTAGGCACCTGCCCGCCCGTGTCAGCAGTTTGTCCCCTGAAGTCAGGGTGGAGCCCTGAATGACAACTGCACCCTGGGCCACGTGAAATCCCCAGTTCAGCTCCTGCCACTGCTGATGCCTTGACCATAGCTATTCAACTGTAGCTCTGAAGCTGCAAGCCACCCATCTGGTGCTTCAGGAGGGGCGGGACAGACACCTGCGGGATCAGCAGATGGCTGCTGGGCTGAGCATCCTCAGGCATCTATCTGGAGGAGTGATGACCTTCAGAGCCTCTCTGATCCCTGTGCCTTTCTCTGCACCCTCCCGGTTGAACCCGAAACCTTTTCTCTGCTTTGAAGGAAGAATGAGGAAAAGAGATGTTTTGCCCAGATCTGAAGGCTTGAGGGTCTCCGCACTGACTCACAGAAATGAGGTGCAGACCCCTGGGGTGTTTTACATATGTTCCAGATGATGCCCGCACAGTGAGGGACACCCAGGTCAGGGCCCGGCACATCACTAAAGCTCCACAGAACTCTCTTCCAAAAGCAAAGCCATGGTTGGAAGAGAAGTGGTAATGTATCTCATGTCCAGCCCTTGGCGTAATGCCTGGCTCAGAGTACAGGAGAGAAAAAAAGGGAAGAAGGTGGAACTGAGGGAAGAGAAGGCGAAGACAGAAGGCAAGAAGGGGAAGGATGGAGAGAAAAGAAATAAGAAAATGGCTGTCAGCCACAATTTTCCCTAGACCAAGGAGCCCAACCAGGGTCCAGAGACGCTGGGCAGAGAAAAGCAAGGGCAGCATGTATCATGACTTCCCCGTCCATCCAGGGAAAGTAGACCGTCAGTCAAGGCTTTCTTGGCTAAGGGGCTTCCGCAGGGAGGGTCTGGGCCTCTCCTGCTGCCCAGTGGCCGTGGAACCCACCTCCTCACCCACTCAGTTCACAGCTTCCCTATCTCCTCCGCTGCGTCCAAAGGTAGGCTGGACGGTTAACCTTTCCCACATCTAGGAATGGAACTCCGCGGTGAGGAGAACGTGTTGCTCAAGGTGGTTGCATTCCCGGTCCCGTGCCCTGAAGGAAACGTGTCTGCTGCCCAGCCTCCTAGCAGGTATGTCTCAGCAGGTGTTCTTCATGCCTGGGTTAGTCTCGCCTGCTCCGGGGGGGTCACATGCTTCACCTAGGGCCAGCCTCCAGGGAGGAAGCAGGGCCCTTCATCCCCGCAAGTCCTAGGTCACCCAGAGAACAATGAGCTCTCAAAGGTTGTGCCTCAAGGTTCACCTATCCATGAACCAGCCACCCCTGTCGGGTTTGTCGGGTTTATCCCACCAATCAACCATTATGTGTCTTACCCAAATGACAAGATTGGCCTCTTTAAATCCTCTCCACCAAGACAGGAACCATCAGCCTCTCTCCAGGCAACTGAGTCCAGTGTCACGTAAACCCTCAACGGGAGAGCTGAAGCTCAACCCTATTTTGTTTTTTTATTTATTTATTTATTTATTATGTATACAATATTCTGCAGGTCAGAAGAAGGCACCTCATTATAGATGGTTGTGAGCCACCATGTGGTTGCCAGGAATTGAACTCGGGACCTTTGGAAGAGCAGGCAATGCTCTTAACCACTGAGCCATCTCTCCAGCCCCCCTATTTTGTTTTTTTTTAAGAGACATTTCACACGAACAGTTCATTTATTAAAATAGTTTCTGTAAACTCTTTCAGAAGAATATACATTTTCCTTGCTTGAGTAGCGTTTCAAGGCACCATAAGATGATGGTCTCTTTAAGAACACCCCTCTATTCATGTCTGAGAATTCCATTAGAAAAAAAAATACAAGTAACATAGACACACACACACACACACACACACACACAAAAGAACCCGTACGTGATCTCAGCCACCAAGAAAACAGAAACACGGTACAGGGCCTGTTGTGGCAGAACGAGTGACAACTTTGGGATGCATCTTACCATTGATGTCCCAAAAGAAAAGAGAGGTGGACTGAGTATTTGTCACTAAAAAGAACCGGCGGGGCCGAGGAGAGGTACACCTCAGAACCGAAAGTCCGAGTAAACATGGCACTGGGCATCTCTCCTCCACTTTCTCTTGCTCTTCACTTTTTCTCCTCCTCCTCACTCAGGGTGGAATTCTCCTGCGGCGGGGACGTCAGCTTGTTCTGCAGAAGGGCCGCCAACTTTTTGGAAGTCTTTTTGAGAAACATGCTACCTGGATGGGCACTGTTCACGTGCAGATACAGGTCCTCCTGGGTGGGGCCCGTGTAGCCGCAATCCTCACACACATAGAGTTTGTCCCGACGCTGCTTGTAGGCATACTGCTGCTGCACGCCGTGGATCTTCTTCAGGTGGGACTCCAAGGAGCATCGCTGGGTGAAGGCTTTGAAACACACATCACATTTGTAGGGGCGGATGCCTGCAAGGATGAGAGGCAGACACATCACCAGCTGGTCGGGGCCAAGCCCAAGCGACCCTCCTATGAAGCCATTAAAGTTTCCCATGACCAAGATCATTGACAATGTGAGGAAAGTGGGGCCAGAACCTTCTACAAGGGTCCTGGCATCGAGACGAACAAACCTAACTCAGGTGGGGGCCAATAAGGCAGAACCCAACACTTGGACTCTGGGAGAAAGAGTTACATTTTTCCCACTCATCTGCCTTAATGGCTTCATCTTTCAGTGGTAAGGCAAATTATGTAAATGACTTAATTTTTGTCTTTTTCTTAAGATTTATTTATGTATTTTACGTATACGAGTGCTCTACGTGCATGTATGCCTACATGGCATCAGATTCCATGGTTGCGAGCCACCTTGCGGTTGCTGGGAATTGAACTCAGGACCTCTGGAAGAGCAGCCAGTGCTCTTAACTTCTGAGCCATCTCTCCAGTCCCCACGATGTTTTAAGTACGGTGGGTTTTCCTGGAAACAGACCCTGAGACAAAGATCCTAGATTAAGTTTATTGGAGAGGTCATCCTGGGAAGCACAGGTTAGGCAATGGAGAAAGACACAAAAGGGAGAAAGGCAAGCAGGGTGCTTTGTGCTGGGCGTCACTGGAGACGGTGCAGAGCATAGTAGATGAAATGAGCTAGCGGGAGGTGACTGGGGTGACAGATAACTTAGCTGGTAAAGCGCTTGCTTTGTAAGCAAGCCCAAGATCTGAGCTCCATCCCTAGAACCTGTATTTACAAAGCAAGAGATGGGTGTGGCGGCTGACAGGTTCAAAGGAACTCCATTTGATTAATGTTAAAACTCTGGCCTTTAGAAGAAGTCTTAATATAACAATAATATAGTGGGAGGGAAAGAAATCTGAAACATTTCTCATTTGCTCGGAACTTAGTAGTCATGCTAAGTGCAAATGCCATTCATTTACAATGGCGTACACCCATTGTAATCCCAGCCAATCAATCCCAGCACTCAGAGGCAGAAGCAAACAGATTATCTGTGAGTTCAAGGCCAGTCTGGGCTACTAGGAAACCCTGTCTGTGGTTTCTAGAAATCCATGCATGATGAGTGAATCCCTGGCACTGATTGGCCAGCCATCCTAGCTTCACTGGCAAGTTCCAAGCCAAGTGAGAGACCCTTTCTCAGAAAGGGGGTCTGTGGAAGGTAGGTGCACAGTGATTGGCTAAAGTAGTTAGCCACCAAGGCTGACTATCTCAGTTTGGACACGTGACAGAAGAACTGGCTCCCATAAATTGTCCTGTGACCTCCAAATTCACATGGTGGCAAGTGCAAGCAGGCACACACACGCACACACACATGAGAGAGAGAGAGAGAGAGAGAGAGAGAGAGAGAGAGAGAGAGAGAAGGGATAGAGGACACCTGGTGTCATTGGCCTACCTCTGGCCACTACATGTTTGTACTCACACATAAATTGTCTCAGTTTTGTCTTCAAATGAAATGGTGTATGCAGTGGTGGCCTGCAATCCCAGTTAGAGCGTGAGGTGCCCGGGCTACTCTATAAGGGAGATCCCATCAGACAGGGGTAGGGAGACATTTAAATTTAAAATTAAAATCAGGTTCAGAAGCCAATGCCTATCTCAGTACTTGGGAGGTGGAGACAGAAGGATCTGGAGCTCAAGGCCAACCCAAGTCACATGACTAGATAAGCCAGGTCTCAATAATAAACAAACAAACAAACAAACATTTTTACAAAACTCTGAAAAGGCCTTCCTTACCTCATACACGTCTCTTCTAGTCCAGTCAAGAGCTTCTTATGATTGTTCAAGCTTTATACAAAATTAGGAATACAAAGGTACAGGTACATATTACTATATCTATTTTAAAATGTATTTAATGGCTCTGCACATGGTCTGAACAAGGACTTCTCAGTTTCCTAGGAGACTCTACAGCCAAGACTGCGCGAGTAGGTTCACAGACTCCTACAATTCTCTTCAGACCCAGCTAGGGCTGGGTTTAGTCTGAGGTAAGAGGGGTGCTTGGGGCAGTACAGCATAAGTCCTCACCAACCACCAGAAAGAATACGCTAGGCCAGTGGGGCGCTGCAAGCCTGTAGCGCTAGCACTTGGGGTGAGAAGCTGTCTCAAAGACCAAACAAAAAGCAGACTCCCGATTCTCACTGGGGCAGAGCTGAGAAATTTGGCCTTTGTTGTTGTTGCTGATAGGGCTCCCCCTATCACCCCGGTTGGCCCGGAACTCACAGAGGTCCACCGGCCTCTGCCTCTGCCTCCTGAGGGCTGGGACTAAAGGTGAGCGTCAATGACACTTGACCTCCATTAGGATCTTTTCTTTTCTGAGTCAGGGTTTCTCTGTAGCTTTGGAGCTTGTCTGGGAACTCACTCTGTAGACCAGGCTGGCCTTGAACTCACATATCTCTGTCTGCCTCTGCCTCCCGAATGCTGGGATTAAAGGCATGCATCATCACCACCTGGCTCATTATGATCTTTTCAAGCACTGGAGAGATGGCTCAGTAACTTAGAGAAGTGACTGTTCATCCAGAGGCCCCAGGTTCGGGTCCCACATACACAGGATATCTGACACCCACTCCTGGCCTCCATAAGAACAGGCCTGTGATCTACACTACACAGACATATGTGCAGACAAAACATCCCCTCCAAAAAACACCACACACACACACACACACACACACACACACACACACACACACAAGTAAATAAATGATTGTTCCACAAATAAATAAGATTACTTTGATCCTATTCACACCCAACACTATCATCTACTTTTCATCCTTCCCCATTGCTTTCCTCTCTCAAATGGTCCACTTTCTACTTAAAAAAAAAAAAAAAAAAAGCCAGTCGGTGGTGGCACATGTCTTTAGTCCCAGCACTCAGGAGGCAGAGTGTCCTTAGGAGTCACTTGTGTCTCTTCACACGGGGATCCCCAGTTCCATCTTCCTGCAGAACCCCATCACTTTTCCCATAGAATTTAACACAGTCTGCACATATCTCCTATGGGCAGAGCACCCAGCAAGGGCTGAGAAGCCAGGGTTAGGAGATTTTGGGGGTCCTGCAACACCTGGTCAGCAAAGAAAGGGACTGACTAGGAGGTTTTTTCCAAGAGGGTACAGTGTAGGCGCTGAACCTGATTTCGAGGCTGGGTGCCTCGTGATGTAGACACAGAAGGAGACAGACCATAATAGCTCTCATTATGACACGTCCACCTTATAAAACTGATCCCCTTATAAAACTGATCCCTGCACCAATGTTCCTGCTTCCTCTTCGGACCCTGGAATCTCATTCCTACAGACAGATGCCTTGTCAAAAGAGCTCCTTCCAGGGCTTGGGAATTAGCTCCTCACTCCTGGAACACTGCTGTTTCCAACTCCTTCAAGGGAATGAAGGTGGATTTGTGTAAGTGGGGGGGTGGGGGTCTATACTAAGCTCCCCTCCCCTAACAGTGACACCTGGCTCGTTCTCTGTCTAGCAAAAGCCAATCTTGTCTTCGTCAGAACAGGCTGGGAACTGAAAGCGCCATCTGTTGCCAGACGTAATTAACCTACTGACACCTACCTGAGTTCCAAAGTCCAAGGCCATTGAAAAGCCAGGCACTGTGTGTCTGCCACTCATTAACGGAGTCCACGGTCAACCTGTTAACCCCTCCACAGCTCCGTCTCCTCACCCACAAGATGCAGACAGCACTCACACCCAGGGATGGCTGGTCTAAGGATGAATTGACCTATCCCAGGCACGGAACCTGGTGAATTCAGATACGACCCCAGTGTTTAGAATCCAGCAATGCAGCAGTGGAAACAAGCCGTGCAGGAATCAGCTGCACATCCCTAAATGTTTAGCCTTTGTCTTTCAATGACACCCTTTTTTATGTATTATGCATTTCACAACAAGAAAAAAGGATTTTAAAAAATGTGGTCCCTACGTGACTAACAGGATGTCCCTCACTGACGATCTTTTGAATTCTGTATTCTAGGCCTTTATTACCGAGTTTTAAAAAAAAGTTCTTTTGGGGGGGGGTTAACAGAGTTTTGAGTTGTTTATTCCCGACCCTAAGATGAGCTCATATTCCACATCTCCAGGTAAATCCCTCAGTACCGGAACTTTCTGTCTGCTTCCCTTTCTCAGGTCAAGCGCTCCTTTCCTGACTTTGATCCAACTGTCAACTCCAACAAGAAGCTTTGCTACCAGCCTCCCTGTGGGAGGAGACATTGCGGGCGGCCTCCCAGCAAGGTAAGCAGGCAATGTCCATAAACCCAGAATGTTCCTGACCTTTGGCCTAGTAAGTTCACTTGAGGGAAGCTACCTCAGAGATAGACTCGCACTGGTGGGCAAAGGATGTACAAGAAAAATCATGGTGGGCTGGGCGGTGGTGGCGCACGCCTTTAATCCCAGCACTCGGGAGGTAGAGGCAGGCAGATCTCTGTGAGTTCGAAGCCAGCCTGGTCTATAAGAGCAAGTTCCAGGACAGCCAGGGCTGCTACACAGAGAAACCCTGTCTCAAAAAACCAAAGGAAAAAAAAAAAAGAAAGAAAAATCATGGTGGCATTGTCAGAATAAAACAAAACAGAAGGCGGAGGTGGGGGGAGAGGGATGAAGACAACCTGAAAATGGAAGCAAGAAAAGGACTGTGCCTCTGTGGTGGAAATTCTGTCATGATTCTGTATTAAATGGACAGTGATGAAAAGGAATAAGGCACACCCACCATGCAGACATCAAGCAAGGCCCGAGGTCTAGTTCCCCTGACAGTAGCTGCGCGCCTTAGAAGCGCCCAGGAGAGAAGACAAACGGCAGATCGCTTTCGGAAAGCAACTAGGGCTGTCTGGAGGCTGGCTTTTTAAAAATCTTATTTTCAATTTCCCCCATACAAATATATTATCTTTTCGGCTAAAAAAAAAAAAATGTAAGTTAAACTAAAAATGAAACCGTTGGGGAGGCAATTCCACAGGCGAGCTGGGGCTGCTGGGGAGCGGATTCCGAGCTTCCTCAGCTAGCAGCCCTGCCTTAGACTTCTGATCTGCATTTTTCCCAATCCAGTCAATCCTTCTCCTGAGGCTCCAGACAAAGACACCATTGTCTTCTCCGCTTGAGTCAGGCTGCGGTTTGTTTGCCTTCTGGCCTCTCTCAATGGAGCCCCTGATGTAAGATAAGGTAAGAGGGCCCCCTGTCCTGTGGGCGGCCCCTCCCCAGACCTGACCTCAAATTGGAATTCCTCAGGTTCTCTCTATGGAACTCAGTCCACAGGAAAGGCATGAACCTCTTACTTCATCTGGAGGTTCAAGGTTCTTTTTCCTTTTTTCCTGTAGCCCAGGTTGGCCTCAAACTCACTGTACAATTGAAGATAACTGTGAACATCTTGGGAGTTTGAGGCTAGCCTGGTCTACATAGTATGTTCTAGATCAGTCAGAATTACATGGTGAGAACCTGTCTCAAAAACAAACAAAAAAAAATGTGCTACTGTGTGGGTGCTGGGAACTGAACCCAGGTCCTCTACAAGAAAAACACTCAGTGTGACATTAAATGTCAGTAATCCTCCTGCCTTAGCCTCTGAGTGCTGGGATTACAGGCATGAACCACCACACCTTGAGAAATGTGAGTTATTATTTTCCCAGGCCCAACCAACCCTCCCTCCAAGACTTGGCAGAACCCCACTGATGTGCGTGGCATTATCAGCCACTTCTGGGAGCTGACTTGCTATAGCCTTTTATGCCATCTGAAGTCTTCAGCCGCATAAACATTCATTTTACCAAATAGAAAAATAAAATACCTTCAATAAATACTGTATCCGAACAACAAACTGGCACCTTGAGGCATCAGTTTGTGCGCCCACAAGCTCCCTGGTGCTGCTGGTTCTCAAACCACACTGAGCAGTGTAGCTGAGGGCAGGTGGTGCAGTGAGTGCAAGGGCTGGCACGAATTGCTCACTCAAATACACAGATCTCTCTCCCCCCAACAAACCATGTTTGCCAACAGGCAGCCATTCTTAGAAGTAACCTAGCTGGCCTAAGTGTAGAGCATTCAAAAGAAGGCTCGACAAAGCAGATCTGTGGCGTTTTTCTCAGGCTGTGAACTGAATAGGTGTATTTTGTTCTTTTAATGCTCGGGGCTCTCTATCTGTCTTGATGTAGGTGAGTCTGTCCTGTAACCCTGTCCCTGATACTGGACGAAAGCAATCATCTCTGTCAAGCATACAGAAGATAGTGTTGGCTCCTCACCCAGATCAACTTCTTGGGCTGATGCCTAACCCCAGTGGCCATGTGAGCTGGCCGCTAACAGTTCCTGGGTGTCCCCTTCTCCAAGGATTGAGCACTAGCAACTAACTTTCCCAACGCCGGGAATAAAATGTTTTCAGTATTTCTTTTTTGTTTTTGTTTGATTGAAATGGGTACAGAAAGATCCTCCACAAACCCGTGCACCGGACATCACTGAGGTATCCCCCAAACCCCAGAGTCCTCTGAGATAGGGCTGAGGCCAACACACTTTTCTCTTTCCCAGTCTCAACAAGTTCCTCCCAGGAACCCTAATTTCAAACATCGTTTTAATACAGAACAGCTTCCAGGGCGCAGGACTCAAGACTCTATAGAATGAAAACTGCCACTCATTACTGCTTTCTGTTGTTAATTCTGGTTTGTTTGTTTTTTTTGGGGGGGGGTTTGTTTGTTGCTTGTCTAGAATTAATTTTGTAGCCCAGGCTGGCCTGCAGCTTCAATCCTTTCTTCGCCTCCCTAGTGATTATAGGCATGTAGCACTATAGCCAGCTACCAACACTTTTTTTTTTTAATGCTATGGAAGTTTTCCTCGGCATCACTGGGTTTATTTCAATGACACCACATCCTCGCTCCCTACTCCGGACATACACACTGACCACCGAGAGACAGAAACGGTCAGGGACAAAGAACCCTGTGGTTACCTGGTGACCTCATACCCCAAATAAGGATTCCCAATCCTTTCTTTCATCTGTTTGCATATTAACATAAGACATTTTCAGGCTCGTTTCCCTGAACCTTTCTCAGAAAGTTTCCTTTGTACTCCGAGTCTTTCCTTGGACACCCTCCCAGCTCCCGGGATGAGAGGTCATGCAGTCGGTGGCGGGTGAGAGGCAAGGTTAGCGCTACGGCCCACTCCTGTCTTTGCTGAACTTAACATTGCTAACCATTCTCTCATGGAGGTTCCTAGGATTCTAGCCAGGTTTTTACAATGCTAAGGCTTGGTCCTTTTGGACTCCATGCAAACATATCCCTCACTCAGCTGCCTGCTGTGTTTGTGCTGAGTGCCTGTATCTTTGTTTATGACCTAAATACACTTAGAATAGTCAGTTAGCCAAACTATGATGTTTGCAGCTCATCCAAAGGCAAGGACCAAGTTCCCACTAAATCCCAGGATGATCTTTTGGAGCCAGTGAGATTGGATCACATGAACTAACACACTTGAGAACTTTCCAACGTCGTTTTTGTCGTGAAGTCATGCTGATGGTAAAGCCCAGGAGACAGTCACAGACCCGGCCTCCTCTTCCAGCCCCTAGCACCACCGTTGCCTGCCCAGATCAGTGACGACTCATGGCTACCACCAGCTAACATGCTCCCCTAGAGTCTGGCCATGGAGATGGGTTCCAGTCATTTCCACAGTGTTACTTGTTGAATACTTTGAAAGCAAAAGTTATGATTAAAATTCTAGAAATGTCTACTCATCCATTTCAATTATTATAGAGCTATCCAATAGAAACCACGGGGCAAACCACTTTAAAATTTAGAAATTTCCAGAAGGAACCGAGAATAGTGGGCTACACCTATAACTCCAGTACCCAGGAGGCTAAAGCAGAAGAATATAGAGTTCAAGGCCAGCCTAGACTACAGGCAACCTTGTCTCAAAACATAAGAGAGAAAACAACCAAAAAACAGGGTCTCACTGTATTTCCCTGGCTGGCTTAGGACTCCATATGTAGACCAGGTTGTCCTAGAACTCACTAAGATGCTCCTGCCTCTGCGCCCTGAGTACTGGGACTAAAGAGATTACCTTCTTCAGTGAATCATTTTAAACTTCAAAATTGAGATTGTTTTTCATATTAAGTCTTCAAAATCTAGAGTCTTAAACCACATCTAATTGTTACTAGTCCCAAGGCAGGGGCTCAGCAGCCACACCGAACCAGTGGCTGTGGTCCAGACTGGTACGGCCCCGTATTTCCACTTCTGGAGGTACCTGTCAATCACTAGAGCTGCTGGTTCAAGACTGATCAGGGCTATTCAGTGAGTTCAAGGCCAGTCTGATCAGCTTAGTGAGAACCTTCTCAAAATAAAAAAGTTAAAACCGGCTGGGATTACAGCTCAGTGTTAGCGCAATTGCCCAGTATGTTCAGGGCCCTGGATTCAATTTCCAGTATGTATAAATAAATAAATTGGCCTTTAGAGCCTGAAAAAGGCCTGGAGCCAGATTCAAAGGGGTACAGATCCCATTCATGTCTTCAAGCTAAAAACCGGTCATATACTCGTTAGAAGTCATGACAGTGACTCCCTTGGAGGAAAGCAGGTGAGAGGGTAATGACCTCTAAAGCTGGAAATACTCTGATTTTTTTTTAAACTTTATTTTAATTGCATGCATCTAGATCTAGGGACCTGTAATTTGTGCATTTTTCTGGACATGTAATTTATTTGTTTTTTTGTTTGCTTGTTTGTTTTATTTTTTTCAAGACAAGGTTTCTCCGTGTAGTCCTGGTTACCCTGGAACTTGCTCTGTAGGCCAGGCTGGCCTCAACTCAGAGATCCACCTGCCTCTGCCTCCCAAGTACTGGCATTAAAGGAGTACATCACCACCACAGCCACCACTACCTGGCTAGATATCTCATTTCAATGAAAAGTTCAGTTTAGAAAAATAATTGTTTTTTTTTAAAGAAAAAGTATAGCCAGGTACGGTGGCACACGTCTTTAATCCCAGCACTAGAAGCAGGCAGATCTCTGAGTTCTAGGCCAGACTGGTCTACAAAGCAAATTCTAGGACAGCCAAAGCTACAGAGAAACCCTATTTTGCAAAACGGAACCAAAAAAAAAAAAAAGAGAGAGAGAAAGAAAGAAGGAAGGGATGGGATGGCGTTGATGGAGATTTGATGACAAGACCCATATAGTGAGAGACCTCATATGAAATGGAGATGGCTGCCTCTACTCTACCTGGAGATGTTGTATCTACTCTACCTGGAGACGCCTGCATCTACTCTACCTGGAGATGTTGTATCTACTCTACCTGGAGACGCCTGCATCTACTCTACCTGAAGATGGCTGCATCTACTCTACCTGGAGACACCTGTATCTACTCTACCTGGAGTTGCAGAATTTTGAGCAGAAGTGGCATCCTTGTAATTTTCCTCCAGGACTTACTGGACCAAAGGTACAGACTGGGCCTCAAGGGGAGAAGCCTAGAGGCCAGATGTGCCTAAGATAAACTAATGTAGCTTGTGACCAATCAGCAGGTTTGCAACCGAGGCAAAAAGTCATCCCCCAGACTCTCTGAAACACACAAGAGGAGGCCTCAAATCCGGACTGCGTGAATTGGAAAATGGGCTCAGTGTAGCTCAGTGGTGGAGTGCTTGCTTAGCATGCGCAAGGCTTTAGGTTCTATCCCTTACATTAAAAAAAAAATAAAAGAAGAAGAAGAAAAACAAAAAAAGTTGGGAAGCCAAGGAAGAGGCCCCCAGGAAAATGCCTGCCCCAACAGGAAGCTCAGGGCAGCTGCTCCGCTGCCTCAGGAGGATCAGGAGCCCTGGATCAGGCTTACTTCAAGAGGTTAGCCAGGCACAGCGGTGCTTGCTCCTGGCACTTGGAAAGCCCAGGAAGGAGGTTGGAGAATTCAAGGCCAGGTCACGTGACAAAGCCTTACCTTAAAAAACCAAAATCAAACCAATGACAATAATAAAGCAAGAGTCAAGAAGGAGGCACAAAATATTTGAAGCCGGTCCCAAGCATCCCATTCTGCAGTCAGACTAAGGGGGCTGCGTTACAGTAGAGACTTTCTGTGTCTCCCTCAAACCTGGACATCGTGCCCATCCTTCCAGGAGCAAAACCAGGCCATGAGAGGTGGCCTGCATGCGACAGGTGACAAGACTGGCAGGTGAGGTCACACGGACAGACACGTGACACGGATGGATGGACGACAAAGGAACCAGAAGTGAATAAGTCGCGTGCGCAGCCTCACCTGTATGTGTGCGAACGTGCCTCTTCAGGTCGAAGGTATCATTGAAGCCCTTGCCGCAGAAGGTGCACAGGTGCTTCTTTACCTGGTTGTGGCACTTGAGGTGACGGTTGAGCATGCGCTGCAGGCGGAAGCTCTTGCCACACAGGTCACAGTTGTGAATCACGGAGTCATTGCACAGGCCTGTGGTAAACTGGGAGCAGAGAGAGCGAGTACGTGAGATCACAGGGGGCTCATCTGGGAAACCAGACGTGCTCTATCTAGGTTGAGCCTGCCTATGGCTCCTGCTCCCTCTAAGTGCAAGCAGGCTCAGCGTTGAGAAAGGTGTGAAGACGCCGGTACTGGGAAATGGTTTGGCACAGCATCCTTCCTTTCTATCTCTGCACTGTCTTACAGCAGCCTTTTGTTGTTTTTTTGAGACAGAGTCTCTCTGTGTAGCCCTGGCTGTCTTGAAGCACTCTCTGTAGACCAGGCTGGCCTTGAACTCACAGAGACCTGACTGCCTCTGCCTTCTGAGTGCTGGGATTAAAGGCATGTTACAGCAGCCTTTCAACAAGACACGGACATGTGATCATCTGACTGATGAAAAAGACGTCCCCTTAAGGGAGAAGCAAGGTTCCCAGTAGTTAGAGCCCCAGCAGCCACCTGCACCACGAGGGAGAAACAAATGCTTAGGATGGCGAACAGAAGGAAAGGGTCTGGGTCCTGTTGACAATGGCTCCCAAAGACAGACACCGTCAGCTATTTCCTCTGTGCCTCTGAGTACTGGTTCAGACTCCAAGAAAGAGAACCAGGACCGGAGAGGTGGCTGAGTGAGGAAAGGCACTTGCTGCCAACCGTGGTGACAAAGACTGATGACCTGAATTTAATCCCTGGGACCAACACAGCGAAGGTAGAGAGCCAGCTCCTGCAAGCTGTCACACGCCGTAGCACCCCCCCCCAACACACACACAATAAATAAATGCAATTCAAATTTTGAAAAAGGAATAGAGGAAGGGTGGAGATGATTTCTCTTCTCCTGAACCAGGGCAGGGCTCATGACTAAACAGAGAGCAGAAATGATGTGCTAATTCTGGGATACGGGACACCTGGTAGCTTCACTGCCTCCTTCTCAAAAGCCAGCCTCCATGTCTGAAGCCGACGGAGGCCAGGTTAGCCATGTGGAGAGCCAGAGCCCCATGCAGGGGGCACCATGGTGCTAGCTATGCACCTTCCAATCCAACCCAGGGTCACCACTACCTAACCGAGTGGTCCCAGACAATGCCATTCAGATGAAAACTGCCTAGCTGGGCCATGCCCAGGTCCAGATACCCAAACAGTGCACAAATAAAACCATCACTTGGGAAAGTGACTTGGCCAGGATTCTAGAGATTTATCATCAGTTGTGATTACAACTGTATTCCAGCCTCCAGCCTGTCCCCCGCCTCCAGCCTGTCCCCCACCCCCAGCACAGGATTCTCTCAAGCCACCTCTGCTGTCTCCCTGGACAAACACCGGACTGACCATCGATGTGATGTGAAACACCAGATCTGATGTGCTCTAAAGTCAGATGTGCCACCAGCGGAGACCCTGGAGATGGTCCTGCTGTTCTGCCAGAACTGTTTGTAAGAAGCCCAAGGATTGGAGGTACAATTCGGCATCAGACACTCACCTGGACGTGCTGGTCCTGCGCTCCGGCCCTAGTACTACCAAAATAAAGAAATAGCTGGGTGGTGGTGGTGCACACCTTTAATCCTAGCATCTGGGTGGCAGAGACAGGCTGATCTCTGAGTTCGAGGCCAGCCTGGTCACAGAATGAATTCTAGGATAGCCAGGGCTACACAGAGAAACCTGCATTAAATAAACAAACAAACAAATAAATGAGGGAGTTAGTGGAGGGGAAGGAAGAGGAAAGAGAAATGAGGCTGGGCACTAGTCCTTAGAGATCAGTCATCCCTTGACACGGAGATGGGGAGCAGGATCCTGTGCAGACACTAAATCCTTCGGGTGCTCAGGCCCTGATATAAAACACTATGGCTTTGGGTATCAACCCATCTACATCTACATGACCTAAACAGATGTCTATAGAACTTTGTACCAACATAAACTTTATGTGACTAGTGTTAGGCTGTACTATTTAAGGAATAGGGACAAAAGACAAGAAAAAGATCTTGGCACGGACACTGTGTTCTTTTCAAATGGGTTGAATCCACAGGATGTAGAAGCCCTGGGTATAGAGAGCTGCCTGGACTTCGTTCCACTTCATTCCAAATAGCATATTACATTTACACTTCTGAAGAGTTCATGCGGACTCCTCCATTCAAGGCCTTGAGGACAGAAAGCCCGTGTCCACTCACACCGCTGCCTCCTATTCCTCCATGCCCAAGGGCAATACCTAGTATGCTGGGCAGCCGGGAGCAACCTCAGGATGCAGGGAGTTCGTAGGATGCCAGGACAGGCTTTCCTAGGCTGCTTCCTCTCCTGTTCATTCTCTCTGGCTCGGAGCCAGTGTCTGCATTAACACTGAAGTGACTGATGGGCCCTACGGTCAAAGCACTGCCAAAGTGGCTTCCCAAAAAGATGCCATAGTTGCTGGAATGTGGAACACCACGGGAGAGAGAGGGTGGCAGAGAAACCAAGTCTTGTGGCCAAGCAGAGAAGAGAGGGGAGATATGAAAATGGTGGAATATAACCATCGGTCTGGTTCAGTGTGAGCTGCCAGGGCCTGGGAAAGCGGTCACAGGAGTGTGGAAAAGGGCAGTGTCCACCCTGGGGACCCAATGGGTAGCATCTACTCCACAAGCAAGAGGGACACTTCTTTATTCATCTGTAGCTCTCGGGGAAGCAGAGGCAGGCGGATCTCTGTGAGTTCAAGGCCAGCTTAGTCTACACAGTGAGCTCCAGGACAGTCAAGGCTACAAAGGGAGACCCTGTCTCAAAAATGAATGAATGAATGAATGAAGGGCTGGAGAGATGCCTCAGAGATGTTAAGAGCACCAGTTGTTCTTCCGGAGGATGGTCCCAGCACCCACATGGTGACTCACACTGTCTGTAACACCAGTGCCAGGGGATCTAATACCTTCTTCTGACCTCCATGAGCACCAGGCACACATATGATCTATGTACATACATGTAGCAAAACATTCTTACACATAAAACAAATAAGTAAAGAGACAGAGACAATTGGCTAAGGATCACTGTCAATAACTAGTTTCTGCCAGATTGTACCACCTCTCATAAGGGAAGGGGTATTTGGTTTGTAGGTGTATTTCAGGTGTGGTGCTTTAAAATTTGGTCTATAATAAACAGCAAGAGACTGGACGCTATGTCTATTAGTATGGGCTTCAAAATAAATGTACAAAGTACTAAGCAGCCCAGCAGGGACGTCTGCAACCTCCAGAGAAAGCCAACAAGAACTACCCAGCCATTCCACAGATACAGAAAATAGGATATACGGCTGGGTGGCGGTGGCGCCCGCCTTTAATCCAAAGCTACAGAGAAACCCTGTCTCGAAAAACAAACCCCCCAAAAAAAGAAAGAGAGAAAGAAACAAAATAGGATATGCATTATTTTAGCTCCTCAATTTGGGTTTACTTGCACAGAAGAAATGGATTAACTAAAACAGTAACAGTGGGCTGGAGCGATGGCTCAGCAGTTAAGAACACATACTGCTTTTGCAGAGGACCTGAGTTCAGTTTCCAGTACTCATGCTTGACAGGTGACTCACAACCACGTATAATTCCAGCTCCAGGGCATCTGACCCTGTCTCCTGGCCTGAGGGTACCCGCACTCACGTGCACACGATCCCCATATGCACATAATTGAAAATAAATTGACCGGAGAGATGGTTTGGTGGTTAAGAGCACTGGCTGCTCTTCCAGAGGACTTGGGTCCAATCTCAAGCACCCACATAGTGGCTCACAACTGTGTGTAACTCCAATCTCAGGGAATCCAAGGCCTTCTCCCGGTCTATATGGGTACCAGGCACTCACATGGTACACAGCCAGCCACACAAGCAAAATTCCTACACATATAAAATAAATACATTTAAAAAAACAAATAAATGAAAATAAAATCCTAAAAATCAACAACATATTTTCTTCCAGAATATCAGCTTTGGCACACTGCTTGCATTTTTTTCCTTGTTAACTTTGGAAATGGAGATGGAACGTAGAATCTTTGTACATCAAGAACCCATTGTTTGCTGGGCGGCGGTGGCGCACACCTTTAATCCTAGCACTCAGGAGGCAGAGACAGGCGGATCTCTGTGAGTTTGAGGCCAGCCTGGTCTACAAGAGCTAGTTCCAGGACAGGCTCCAAAGCTACAGAGAAACTCTGTCTTAAAACACACACACACACACACACACACACACACACACACACAAAACCATTGTTATCACGCACCTGCATCCCCACTCCCAGGATGGGCTGTACGACACAGCAGACACGACTGAGTCCTGGACCAGTCCTCCCTCCCCAGGTCCTGCGTCTGCTGTCTGGACCATCTTTCTTATGCTCCCACAGGTTTACAACTAACATTCTCTCTCCTCGATGTTCAAAGCAGGGCAGCCACTCTGATTTTTTTACTTGGCTCTACAGGTAATATGCCAAAGTTACATCATGAACCAAAACTTAGACCAAAATTACATCTTAACCACGTTAATTATAAAATGACTGCGGTGGAGGGGGGGGAGCTAGCTCAGTGAGCGAAGTGCTGACGAGCACAGAGACTTGAGTTAGAGCCTCAGAACGCCTGAACACGACAGATGCCGTGGAATATGGCCGAATCCCAGAGCTGGGGAGACAAGAGAGCAGGATTCCAGCCTCGCCTGGCTGGTGGCCTCCAGCACAGAGAGAGAGATTCCAGTCTCGCCTAGCTGGTGGCCTTCAGCACAGTCAGAGCAGAGAGACAGCATCTCTGAAGATGGCACCCGGGGTTTTTCTCTGACCTCCACAGGCTGCCCCCACACATAGGTGAGCAAGCTTGCACCACCCCCACAAATGCACAACAAACAACCATAGAGAGTCAAGAAATGCCAAGAGATTGAATAGATCTTTAGCTCTGACCATCTGTGTGACATGAAATGCCATTTAATACCTTAGATAAGGACAGGCGTGGTGCAATCCCAGCCCTTGGGAGGCAGAGTTGAGGGCTTTCTGAGTTCCAGGACAGCCAGGGCTACAGAGAGAAACCCTGTCCTGAAAAACCAAAAC